GATCTGAAAAGCCTACAGGCATTTCCTCAGGGACTGCCTCATGACAAGGAGTCAACTTCCCAGCTATTCCTTATTATTGCAAGGATCCCGACTCCGATCCTCATCCTTGCGCTAAATCCTGGCAGTAGCCATAGGATGCTCCAGTGGTTATTACCATCTTCTGCAAGTCCCTAAAAGCCTCCGCGCGACAGGGCAGAAACCATAACTTAATGTGCTTTGGCAAGAGACAAGCACCCTTCTGGTTTTTGTGCAGCATTTACTCCTGCAATTTATTCATTTATTGGTACCCTGCAAGTGGTTTCAAATGTTCAATCTAGTCCCAACCAGGTTTGGTAAAGTAACATTTTTAGTCAGAGGTGTCTAGCTGTGGCTGCCTGCATTTTGGGCTTGAGGCTGACAAGGCTGTTTTCACTCCATCCTGTACTCTCAATTTTCTTTAGCCCCAGTGTGTTCTCCGGCCTCTTAACAGTGGCCTGGGGCATCCTTAGCCAATAGTCACCTCACAGCCCTCCAAAGAGGTCTCTGCCCAGAGACTTCCCAGGAGGTGGGGCAGGGGAAGAGACAGCTTCAGGGCAACCCCAACTCCTAAACACCCTGTGGGAGACAGAAGTTGCCCAACACCCCTCCCAAATCATTTCTGTATTTACACCTCTGAACCCGTTCATACCCATGTCCAACCTGCTAGGCTGCCTCCCAACATGCAGCTTCCCACTTCCAGTTTCCAGGAGGTGCTCAGACATCAGGAAGAAAAGCAGCAAGAGCACCTAGCCAAAAATAAAACGTACTGTCTGCACCGCTTGCATCCCATTTAAGACCATCCCTTCTCCGTGTTGGAGCAGTCACCAAACCCCCAGGCAGTAAAAGACAAGCCAACTCCGAAGCACTGCACCTAGTAAAAATTTAATATAATAAAACAAATTGAAAATGGCAACATTATTTTAACCGTTCACAATTAAAGTGGAAAAATTATAAGGCAGCCATTCATGGAATGATTTTGTGTACAAATGGTTTGGGGGTGGGGGGGGAAAGGACATTGAAATTACAGATCCATACATGGAGTCGGGTAAAACAGCAATGACCACACTGTGTTTCTCCCTGGAAAGCCAAGGCTGCTGAGAGATGTAAAAAGAGGTAAGAAGAAGAAAAAAAGATTTCTTTTTTTTTAAATAATTTTGAGGTGAACAGGAATCTGAAATTCATCATAAAAGAATCTTAAATTCATCACAAACTTTCCCACCACACTGCAACCACTCCTCCTCTTTCCACCCCCAAAAGGATACAAATACACTTCCCTCCTCTTCTTCCCAAGTCCCAGCACAGAGTGGGAAGGGACCAGCAGCAACATTTATTCCACAGCATCTCTCTCCTTCTGCAGAGCTGATACCACAAAGATGGACACATCTGCTACAGTCAAAAGCTCCCTGAAGGCTCTGAACTAGTTCCGGAACAAACAGAGCAGTTTTCCCAGGTCTCTTTGATAATGCTGGCATTTTAATGCAATCCACCTGGAAATGGTTCTTTATAGTCAAGAGTGGGTTTCTGACACGCCATGTCACCAAAAATTGCTGTCCTGGTGTGACGGCTCTGCCATCCTCACTTAAGGTAATGTCAGTGCAGCTTCTGCATCCGTCCTCAGGTGCAGAAGCAGAAATACCGCTGCTCTTTACATAAGGAGCCATAGGAGAGTTAGAACAGCAGGGGAAAGTGCCTGAACACACCAGGATCCACAGAAACAGCTTTAGTCCAATTCCTGTTGCCAATTAATAAATCATTAACTGAAAAAAAAAAAACCCAAAACAGCTGATGAGAAGATTATAGATTTCCTAGAGGGATTTACAGAAGGAAAGGGGGATGTGCCTGGCACTTGGTTAAAGCATTACCTGCTAGACCTGCTGCCACCTACCTCACAGCAGAAAACACAGGCAGAGATGGCTATTACAGACAGAGTGAGAGGAATTTGTTTGCACCAGGGTCCCCTGAGGAGTAGAAAATGATACCAGATGGCCCTGGCTACAGGCAGTGCTTGAATTTACTGTGACAGATGGGGAGACCGATAGAAAAAAAAGGGGATATGATAAAATGGACCATTTTATTTAACTTGGTAAAATATTCTGCCTCAAGAAGATAATCCTCCATGTGAAACTAACAATTTGGAAAGGTTTGATCATTTAAAATTTGATATTCTCCTTCACAGGTAACCAAAAGCCTCCTTAGTCACTGCAGTTTCAGCTACAGAATTGAACAGTTCAACACAGAGATAACAGAGGCAGCCAAAAGAAAATGATGTTGCTACTTCTCAACAGGTAGAAAAAACCACCCCAAACCCATGATCACACAAATCTTCTATCACTTAACCAAGTGCCAGAATGAAACGCACATGTTAGCAGAATTTTTGTGTCAATTTTAAGTCACCGATGTTTTCATTTAAGATCTCTCACTGGCTGCTATAACTTGGCCTCCGTAGTTCATGAATCATTAAACAGAGCATCACCCTCTCTGGTGGCTGCCCCAGCAACTGGAAACACGATCCAAGGGACAAGAGAAAAGACAGATGCCAAGAGCTCTCGGCAGCTCGTGTGATTGACACGCCAGGTTATGTCAGCAGTGAAAAGGCTGGCTGTCACACCCTCAGCCGGGTAAGGTACCGCTCCTGCTCCCACACTGGAACCAACAGCGTGAAACGGGGGGACGTACCTCCCTAAACCGCTGCTGCTGGGGTGTACACGGTGAGGCTGAAGGAGAACGGAGTCAGGGTGCCACCTTAACTAGTGGGGTGGGGTACATGAGCAAGTGATAGCCGACAGCCGAATTTAAACCCAAACCCTACTGTTTTACAAAACGTAGGCACCAGATGCTGCGCGAAGCTATCTCCTCCTTCAGCTCTAGATCCTGCGCGCTTTCCAGCCTTTGGAAATATTATCTGGAAAGATTAAGGAAGGTATAATAGTGAGATCACCCAGGCAGAAGGGGCAATCAGGAAGAACACTGGGACCTCCGGCGTAAGCATCCCTGTGTATCTTCTCCATGTGTCGGGAACCTGTATCACTGAACTTGTTTAAACAGGTAACTCACTAGATGAATACGTATGTCGTTAAAGAGGAAACGTTTAAGAACACACAGGAGTGGATCCCATCCACGTCACTAATTTTGCAGTGGCTTTTCAGAACAGAATTAGCTTTCAAAGGTCTAATGTCAAAAACGCATGTTCAGGCCTCATACGCTAATTTTGGCTGAAAACACTGTCTGGTGTGAAAAGATGCCTTCTAATAATTTTGCATGGATTTTATCCAGTCAAACACACAAATGAACAAGCACTCCTGGGGATCAACACTAGGTTCAGTCCTGGGATACACCTGTATTGTTACAAAGCAATCACTAGTCCAAGAGCCAGCCCATACCCATTACTGAACTAGAAGACAAACAGGACAATGACAAAAACGTAAAGAAGTTAAGAGGCACAATGGCCTGTGTAGTATAAGTAATAAATGTCATGAACAACAGACACATTCAAATAGAAACAAGGAGCACTTCAGTTAAGATGATATTTCAAGCCTTCAAAATCCATTTCAAGAAAAAAAAAAACGAAAAGAAAAAGGTATTTGGCAACATTCTCTTTAAAAAGTGCAGGCAGAGTACAGCTTAAAAAGGGTCCGGCATTAAAAAGTCTTCCCCTAAAGAAAGAATTTTATGGTGAGCCCGTGCATGTCAAGCATTCCTGACTTCTCAAAGCACTACCGTTACTGGAGTACTAGATTACATCGTGTGTAAGAGAAACAGTGCCTGGCAAGAGAAGGCTGTGCCTTGCAAAGGGAGGGATCTTTTACTCCTCTTCCACAGTGAGAGGCAGTAAGCCCTCCAGCAGATTTACCAAAATTAATGCTGATCACTAAGAGGTGAATTCACGATTCCCAAAGGAAAAGCAAAATCCCTAGCGGGTCCACTGGGAACCCACTGGTTTGTTTTTTGTTTATTGGGCTTTTTAGAACTGCTTTAGAAACACCGTGTACTCGACCTGCAGCATAAATATTTAACTGAAAGTCTTGTTTTGTTAGCCCCAATACCTTTTATTTAATTAACTTCCCCCCAGCTGATTTCAGCAGTTGAGACTTTTGCAAATGCTAGTGAAGTTCTCTGGTCCCTCAACAGCTGTTTCCATCTGATTTCTACTCCTCAGAGCCCATAACAGCTCGATTTGGAAGGACACTACAGATACCTCTCCAACAGTCACAGTAGTGTAATTACAGTAACCAATACCTAATTCCTGCTAACGTTTTTGGTGCCTACGTTTTACTGACTTGGCAGAAGACCATATCCCAAGAAATACTGCCTTTAAAAAAAAATTTATTAACAATTACATAAACCAATCAATATTCTCCTCGCTTCTATCCTTTGTCTTAAATAGTGGAATACACTGCAAAATTCATTTGCACTCTCTCAACCAGCTGATTTCCTACTCTAATCCTACACCTCGTCTACATCATTTCTTTCCTATCAGCAACACTTCTGTGACAACAGCAGAATGTCCAGAATTCCAAGTGTGGCCTGTTTTGCAAGAAAATCAGTGACAAACATCACAAGGACCAGTCGCATTGTCACGACAACATAGAACCGACGGGGGAGAGCCCCTTTCTTCATTAAGACAAGACTTCAACCTCTCCCAAGGCAGCCGTCCTTCGGTTTTGCTCTCAGCTATGAAAGCTGAACGGCAGGATACTTTGGTGATCGCAATTTCATGATGAGTCGCTATGTTCTTCCCTGCTCACCTTTCTTAAACTCCAAATTCCATCTTCCCTGAGAATAGGGCCAGAAGTAAGTTAAAATAGCAAATGTCTTCAGAAAAGAAAGTTACAGAGAATTCATGTCCGGCTGCCAAAGTACATTTTGCTACACTAAAAACTTTCCCAGTATTCCTCATTTTGCAATCAACGTTCCCTCTGAACTCCATAAAGTGGATGGGATGGATGATGGGTAAGAGACAATGACAAAGGGAGCAGCTGACATTTGCTGCTCACGTCAGATCCAGGAAATTCGAGCGCTTAGTGATGGTGTCCAATGGACAAAACTAGAGGAATAAGGCATCCTAATACTAGGGCTGCCACCTCCAGGCGACTGAGTCCTTTTCCTCCGGTTGATTCAGGTTTGTGGCTATGAGCAATTCCTCCCACTTCCGGGAGGACATGAACTGTGGCAACGTACAGAAAAGTCCCAGCAGAAAACAGCATAGCAACTCCGGTGGCATTGACTTCTGAAAGGGCTTCTTTGCTG